TTATTATTATAACTGATTATCATTATTATTATTATTATTATTACATCTTCATTGCGCATAATTCGAATACGAGTACATGTACTAAATACAGTCTTTTCCATGGACTAAGAAATAACTTGGATAACCATAATAAACCGCTAATAGAAATTACCCCTAAACTAGCCATGTAATGTGAATATTGTCAAGAGCTCGTAATGATATTGTTCCACTATTAGCCACCATGTTGTAACGCTGATAGACTGTGAGTTAATGCTAGTTTGATTTTTGTACTAACCTTGTCTTCCCCTTTGTGGAATAACACTTGATATATAAATTTGGAACACAGCGTTATGTTTCTGCTCTCTGCATTGACCGGCGTGTTCGTGATATTTCACAGAGAAATCGAAGAGAAACAACACCTGGAAGTTTCGCTTCGCACTCACCAGGTGGAGCTGAAATCTCAGAAGACCGCCGTGCAGCAGGCAAGCAATTATGTTTGAGTTTAATTGCGAATTCAGCTTTAATCGCATCCACCACATATCTGCTGAGGCACCGATATTCACGCGCAAATGTGTTAATGGATGTCTGTAATAATAGCCCTAAGAAATATTAGGGGGTAACGCCCCACTGTTGTAACAGCCCTACACAGAGGGGGTAGCATCGATTGCAGTAACAGCTATGTATCCGCCGTCGTCTGCAGCTGCAGGAAAACAAGCGAACGCTCGAGCAGCAGCTCGCGCAGGCCAATCAGGCGCAGGCGATCGCCGAACGGCTCGCGAGCGAGAACGCGGACGTGCAGCGCCTCCTGGAGGAGAAAACGGTCGACGGATGCTCACTGGCGGCGCTGACAGCTCGCCGCGTCGGCGAAATGGACGAGGCGAGGCAGGTGGCGCTAGCGGGCGCGGAGAAACTCGTGGCGGAGGTCGCCGCCCTGAAGGTCAGTCATGTGGCCAGGTCAAGGTCAAGGTCAAGGATAGTGTTAGGGTTAGGGTTGGGGTTGGGGTTGGGGTTAGGTTAGGGCTCGTGTTAGGGTTGGGGTTGGGTTATCAGTAAAGTTAGCGTTAGTGTTAAGGTTGGTGTTAATTTAGGGTTAGGGTTAGGGTTCAGGTTAAGTCATTCTAGTTCTACGTTCATGGTTACCTAAGGGTTACGAATAGTGTTAGAGTTGAAAGAGTGGGGAGGTTGGGTGCAGTTAAGCAAGTCCTGGAATCGAGTTGTATTTTTATAAAGTGTTCATGTTGACATGTTTCATTTTTTTGTCTGTAGGGGGAGCTGGAGAGGCAGAGAGCGCAGTTCAAGGACGACCACTCAGACATATCGGCGGAAAACGAGCAGTTGCACGCAGAGCTGGAGAGCCTGAGACAAGAGAACGTACGTAACCATGGCAACAGCCATCTCTCCACCGTACAACCTTTAAAATGAAACGCAGTGGCTACGCGTCCGGTCATCCATTACAAAGCTCAGCACAGATTCCCAAATCCACGTCACGATTAGGCCACGCCCTTTTACTACAGAAGTTGAATGAGGAGGCGCTAACTCACGCCACGCTCACGTACACGCATCAGCTGGGACAGGCGCACGCACGCACGCACGCACGCACGCACGCACGCACGCACGCACATATAACACGTGAATTTTCTCCCCCGTGTTACTACAGAAGTTGAATGAGGAAGCCCTCGCTCACGCCACGCTCACCTACACGCATCAGCTGGGGCAGGCGCGTGCGGACGCCGCCGCCGCCGCGCGTGACCTCACAGACGAGCGGACGCGCCGCACCCGCGCTGCCGCCGACGCCGAGTCACTGACCAACCGCATCGCCGCGGCAACCAAGGTAATGAATGCGTCGCCGTGGCGACTTCCTCCGCCTGATATATATATATGAGAAGAGAGAGAGAGAGAGAGAAAGAGAGAGAGAGAGAGAGAGACCGCGAGAGAGAGAGAGAAGCGAGAGAAAGAGTAGAGAGAGAGAAGAGAGAGAGGAGAGAGAGAGCGAGAGAGAGAGAGAGAGAGAGAGGAGAGAAGAGAGAGAGAAGAGAGAGAGAGAGAGAGAGAGAGAGAGAGAGAGAGAGAGAGAGAGAGAAGAGCGACGAGAGAGAGAGAGAGAGAGAGAGAGGAGAAGAGAGAGAGAGTAGAGAGAGCGAGACATGAGCGAGACATGAGAGAGAGAGAGGGTGAGAAAGAGGGGAGAGACGAGCGAGAAGAGAGAGAGAGCGAGCGAGAGCGAGAGCGAGAGAGAGAGAAGAAGAGAGAGAAGCAGATATAGATCTGTGAGCAAGAGGCAATATGAGTAGCAACGATATATATATAGAGGCGAGAAGACTAACAGCACACCACACACACAACACCCAACGTTTTTCCCCTTGCAGAGCTGAGAGGAGAGACGCACGAGGGAGGAGCAGGAGAGGCGTGCAAGAGAGGAAGCCCAGGCGCGAGGCCGTGGGACGGAGGAGCGGGATCGGGAGCGAGACGCTCTGAGGCGGGAGCGAGACGAAGCGAGCGGCTGTGCGGGCGAACACGAGCCAGGCTGAGTCGGCTGGAGGCAGAGTACGGCGGGGGTGGCGGGAGTCTGAAAGTCTGGGGGGGTGCGAGTGGGATAGTGGGAGGTTAGATATAGCTTGGTCGAGGGGGTTCGAGTGTGATAGTGGGAGGTTAGATATAGCCTGGACAAGGGCTTGGAGTGGGATGATGGAGGTTGAATAAAGCTTGTCAGGGGTTGTAGTGGGGTAAATATGGGAGGTTACATGAATTCTTATCAGAGGTTGGAGTGGGAAAATGGGAGTTAGACACTATCCCATATCATCTTACTTTTGATTATTTTATGATCAACCTAACCTTACGGAATGTAATGATATCTATCAGTGTGTCGTACAGAGCTATCCACATATACACAGCTGACAGACAGCTATACAGCTGTTGCTAGATTTATATCATTTATATTTATAATTTATCTTTATTGTTTATATTTATAATTTATCTTTATTGTTTATATTTATAATTTATATAATTTATCGATCCATTCTCTTTATTCTACCAGCCGCAGCTATAGGCCGGAGCGAACAGCGTCCATGAGACGGCGACAGAGATGCAGCACTGAAGCAGCGCGCGAGCTCGAACACAAGGACAGCAGTCTGCGTCAGCTAGAGGTCAAGGTCGTGAAGGTCAAGGAGGAGAACGTGAGGAAACTAAGCTCTAAATTGAGAGCCTGCGATAGAGAAGTCAATAGAATACCTTATAAATTAATATACTAGAACTATATATATATAATATATGGTACCCTAACCCTACAATATATATATAATATATATGGAAAAGAAAGTATGTGTCTGTGTGATGGAATGTGAGTGCGTGCGGCGTGCGACGTTGAGCGGTGCGTGTCATGCGTAGCGTCGTGGCGTCAGTTATCGAACATTGGGTGGAAGGATAAAACACATCTTGTAGCGATAACCTGTATATTAAGTCATATGCAGTGATGTATCTATGTAACATGTAAGCACTAAGTAACACGTGACTCAATAATTAATATAATAATAATATGTAATCATATAATAATCAATATTTTATGATGATGATGATGATGATGATGAATGATGATGATGATTGATGATGATGATGTCGAGATGATGATGTGATGATGATCGATGATGATGAACGATGATGATGATGATGATGATGATGATATGATGATATGATCATGATGCTAATAATCAATAATAATAATAATAAATAATATAATAGTACAAACATAACTAGTAAATGCTAGCGGCGCTATGTCCTAACTGCGCTCAATCGCTGAACGAGGTGTCGCAAAACCCATAGGTTGAAGTTGCCGCGCAGCAGGGGATTGTGATGAGCGGGACACGACTTGTCGTTCAGGCCGGCGGAGGCTGAACAGCTAGACCAAGGGATGTAAACACCGCATGTAAGGATCGGAGATCGATCTCTCAGGCCAGGTGAGCGCACGGTGTTTTATACGCTCCTACTGTGTGTTTTACGGATTTATACAGCATCTAAGTGAGGGCTCGAGGGCTGTAAAGTAAGCGCGTTATGGCACGGATGTTTTACTGATTGCAAGCATAGTGTGAATATATATAAACATACACGCGAGGTGTCGTGTTCAAAATCACACCACAGTGTGACTGTACGTAAACAAGCCGCAGATTGTGCTGCTGAACACGTCTCCCCACAGGTGTATGACGTAGTGAAAGCAATCTCAGCAGTAATGTCATCTCAAATCATAGTCTGTGCTCATGTCGCGAGCAGTTAGCAGCTCTACGAGACGAGTGGCCGTGGCTAGTACTTGAAGACGAGAAATATCTAAACTGGCCACTGCTGGGTCGGCAGAGCATTAGCACTACAGCGAGAATACGAAACAGCGCCGTGTTCTAGGCCAAGCGAAGGCGACGTAAAGGAACATAGGGGCAAGTGAACATTGCAGGTGTTGCCAAGGAGGGGTTAGTGATGAATACAAATTAATGATGACTAAATCGTAGTTGCAGAATTAGGTACATAAACAAAAGAAAAACACCCACAAACTGAATGCATCATATCTGAAGTAAACTACAACAACTCAATAAAATCCATAATCAAATCACACAACTCCTCATCACTCACACAGTAATAACTCACATTATACATAAGTTTCTCTCGCACTGTCGCAGAATCCGACATCAACTCTCGATTCGATCTTGTTTACATTCTGCACGACGTAACCCCTCTCTTGCTTTTTAGTTCGCGATTATGCTGAAGTCATGTGTTGAGTAAGGTGTGTAAACACCTACATAGATAAAATCAACGCATATGACTAATAATACAGGTATCGTAAAGATGTGTGTATGCCACAATGTCAGATACACGTGCACGCCAGCACGCACGCAACGCACGCACGCACGATCCGCGGCAGCCGCACGGCACGCAACACTCTACACCCCTCGCAGACATACAATAATTTATCAGACGCGCCTAGTATGGTAGCATCGTCCTATAATTAATTATATATATTTAGTCAGCCTGCCAGTTATAAGGTTTCTTTACTTCTCTTGCAGGCTCTCAATCTTAGAGCTGAGCTTCACGTTCTCCTCCTTGACCTGACTCACGAGCTTGAGCACGCGCTGCGCGAAGGCGACACACACGCAGGTGGGTCGCAGCGCGGCGGCGGCGGAGAGGAGCTGGGTGCGTGAAGGAGGAGCTGGGGAGGAGCGCGGGGAGGCGGGCCAACGGACGACGGCCGCGCTGCAAGCTAAGGCTACTGGAGTTCTGGCGCGGGGTGGAAGACCTAAGTGCTAGCTATTTTGCGGCGTCGCATCGTGTGTTCGTCTGCGAACAAGTGCTAGTTTTTATCAAGTAGTTAGAAAAATTAACTAATTAATTATAGTAATTATAATAATATATCTGTGTGATATTAATAAGTAAACCAATTAATTAAGTTAAGATTTAATAGTTATCATTCTTGATATTGTAATACCATATAAATAGCTTTTTTTTGAGTGTTTTTTTTTCCGAATATACTACAGGCTTATTTTAGGCGGTAAGATTTCCTAGGCGGTTTTTTCTTATGAAAAACTGCTAATTAATTACCGCTCGTTTAATGTCGCTCGTTAATGCGCTCTTCCCGCAGTCTGTCTGCGCAGCTGAGCAAAGAGAGATTCCTGCAGAAGCCGACGGATTCGCCTCGCAGGGGGAAGGATCCCGGACGGCCGCCCTCTGTGGACCAGCCTTCAGGCACAGGCGACCGAACAGCGGCAGACAATAGAACAGCTAACGGTGAAGCTGCAACTGACGGAGGAGGGATTCGCGGCGAGTCGCGCGGACCTAGGGGGCGCCAGGGAGAGCTTGAACGCCGTCGCTGCCGACAAGGTAGCAATTAATCTTTTATTAATATGGCATTAATTTATATTAATTAATTAATTTATTTATTTTAAAAAATAATTAAATTTAATAATAATTAAAAATTAATTCATTATTATTGTCGCAGGTGCGCTGGTTGAGAAGTTTATCTTCTATGACGATTGGAGTTGGAATCCACGCGATTGGAGGCCACCCACCACCAGGTGGTGCACCAGAGAACGAGAGTTTTTATGCTGTGGCGGACCTGCGAGTCGCAGGAGGTACGAACATCTGTGTGAACGTTCGCTTGTTCTTTTATCTTTTCACGTTATCTTGTTCCGTATTTTATCTTATTATTCTCCATTTTTTCATATCTGGGCGCTCTATCTATCTCTTATGGCCGACAACATGTCCGTGTTTCTCGATCTCACTCGATCTCACTACGCATACTCCTCTTGCGCGAGCTGACGACGCCTGTTCTCTTTTGTTTCTGCAGGCGCGGCGTTCGCGCGGAGATTCGCTGGCGAGCGCGCGGAGGAGAACGCTCGTCTGGAGTCTCGTCTGCTGGAGGAGACGGCTGTTCGCAGCGCCATCTCTCAGGAGGTTCTCGACTCGCAGAAGATGTGGGAGATGGAGGTCAAGTCAAGGTCGAAGCTCGTTTTGTTTCTTTTTATTGATCATCGGGTAGGAGTGGCCGGCTCATACGTTTTTAAAAATGTAAACTATTGTATAATTGTTTTTTACATTGCCTGCGGAGGTCTATGGTGGTTGGTGACACGCCACTAATCTCCAGTATGTAAAGTAGGTCCCAGAGATCCGCCTGTTGTCAGAACATAAAACTTCAGTCTTATACACTAAGCTAGTCTTAACATTAACTTCTTCTCTTGGTAATCGATCGTGCAGTGTTAGTTTCCATGGCGATCGTAATAGATGTCGGGGGAGAGGCGGTCTTACAATGAGGGGAATATAACGAATGATAGGCGCATTGAAAGTTCGTTGTTTTGTCGTTCAGATTCTTTTCGGGTTTAAAGTTTAAAAGGTCGATCGTCTGCGCGTGCGTATGTTGCGTGACGACGACGTTTGTTGTTTAGCATCTCGCCCAATTTATCTAGTGCGAGCACGACTCTCGGCGCAAGGTTTGACGAGGTAAGCCGCCTAGATGGACCTCTTCTAACACAACATCGCTCATTGCAATCCCAGCTGTCATGTTACCTAAGCGAAATTTACCAATTTATACCATCTTTATGTTGAATTTTCGGCAGCGAATCTGAAAAAACTGTAGAAGATGTCTACGTCGGCACCCAAATTATCACAGTGGCCTTTAACTTAATTATTCTATTAGTTATTAGTATTTTTATAATTAATTAATAATTATGTATATAGTTGTATTAATAGATGTTATTGAAGACACATTTGGCATTTTTCAAAATGGCCAGCTTTTTTTTGTTGTCAATATGACAGTCAGATATTAATGTAATGAATGGTACTAGTAGTACACTAGTAGTAGGATACTAATAGTAGCAGGTAATGAAATCTAAAAGCTTTATTAAATACTCAATCTATCACCTACCGTATATGATCGCGGTAATAACCCGCGCCTTATAAGGCGCGCACCTCAATTTGAATCGGGTAATCAAGTATTGCGCCTGTATAGTTTCCCCTCCTGTATGGGGCGCACTACCCGGGCAGAGCAAATAACAGGGTTGAAATTCCTGAGCCAAAATTGCGTATTACACGAGTATATACGGTAAAAACACTAGTGTAAATGAAATAACGACAATAATAAACAAAGCAATAAAATTCAAGTCGCCTTCTCCGATTTTTTTTTAAAAATGCTAAACTCAATTCAGACAAATTCCCAAATCTAGAGGACGCTGAGATCAGAATCGTCGCAAAGCATACAGCCTTCACTAGGAGCGCTTGCAAGACTGCCGTAACTACGCAACAGGTGGCGCTGCTAAAGACGGCAGCTCAAGACGGTAAAGGCAAAGATGAGGTGAGTGAGCGTCGCTTATCACTAAGTGTTTTATTGCAGCACCTGGCGTGTGTGCATATGTGCGTGTGCGTGGCGTGTGCGATAGTCTGTGTACTAGACATGTAATATACTGTATACTGTGTACATGTATATTACTGATGTACATGTACATGTAGTATATAGGCTGTGTACATGTATATTTTAGGCTGTGTACATGATATCATGATAATTACTGTGTGGCAGTAACATGCTACATTTACTGTTATGTGTACATGTAAATTCCTGTGTGGCATGTACTATGTAGCATTACTGTGTACACTTCACCATGTATATTTTACTGTGTAGCATGTACATGTATATTACCTGTGATATGTGACATGTATATCCACTGGTGTAGCACACAGTGTGTGTGCGTGCGTGCATGCGCGTGTGTACGAGTGTTGCCGCCGCAGAACCTGTGCATGAGTGTGTTTGTGTGTGTGTGTGCGTGCGTGCGGGCGCGTGTGTACGAGTGTTGCCGCCGCAGA